CTCAACCCTCTTACACAGTAACAAGCATTAACCAATATCTTCTCCCTTTTTCTTAAATTGTCAATAGTCAAAAGACATTTCCTGCTAACCTCCTATGCAAAAACAAAGCACGGGGAGGGACTTTGGTCTTCCACATCTGTCTGAAAGAGAAAATAGTGTTATCATCTTCATACTCAAAAACTCTTCGTATAAGGATTTAACTGAGGAAGACTCATTTGATGTGAGACACCACCATGGAGTACCATTACTACCATCCAACGTGATAAGAATAACATGAACCAATCGTTAAGATTTCTCGACACTAACACTTGGTCATTTCTTTATGCCACTACAGTTCTCCACTAAGGCGTCACATACTTTGATGCCTTCTGTTGGGCTATGGCATAAACTTGAGGCAATCTCATTCTAAGAATACCCTCTTCCATTCACTTATCCTCCCATAGTCTAACTCTATCCCCCCAACCAACCTTCCACCTTATATGCTTCTGGAAGTTTTTTCGCCCTAGGTTGATCTTTTTCCACAAGTTTTTCCCATGTGGCCTTGAACTCTCTCTAGTAAGTCACCCCGTCTCATCCATGCCATATTTTGCCACTATAGTTTTCTCCACAACACATCTTCCTCTGTTATAAATCTACATAATCATTTACCCTGTAAAGCCTCATTACTCTCCACTAGTGATCTCAATCCCAAGCCGCCAAGATACTGTGGTTTTTTAAGCTCACTCCATGCCACCAAATGATACTTCCGACTATCTCCCGTGTCACCCCACAAGAACCTGTGCTTAGTGGCTTCCAACTTTTTAGCCCTGCGTATCGGGATGGTCATCATAGACATGTAATAGTTACAAAAATTGCCCAAAGCGCTCTTGATAAGTCTTAGTCTTCTCCATTCTAACAAGAGATCTTTCTTCCACCCTGCTAAACTCTTCTCAAATCTATCCACCATTGGATCTCACATCCTTACCTCTTTAAAATTAGTACCAAGCATTAACCAGATATTTGGTGGGCATATTTATATAATAGGAGATATAAGACGAAACAAATAAAGTAAAATAAATATTTTGGGAGTTAACCAAAAAGAATAGGAAAATTCAATTCTCTATCCTAAGTTTTGAAAAGTTTTACAAGAAAAGAAAATAGAAAGATTCATTTTTCTATTTTCTAGATTTTTTATTTCACTAATTCTTTCTATTTAACTTATTTTTCTATTTACTAGATTTTCTAATTTTGATATATTTAGTGCGCATAAATAACGTATCTACCTTAGTAATTAAGTAGACTATTCACAATTCTTATTCAAATATTGAGATATCAATTTGACTACTGAAATCCAACTTACTAAAATTTTTGTGAGTTCATATTGAAATATTGGTCAATGATGCAAAATAGAAAGCTCTTAATAAAAGCATATTTCAATAATAGAAGATATGAAACTGAACCAATAAAGAAACATAAACCTATTGGGAGGTTAATTAAAAGAAACAGAAAAATTTAATTTCTTTTTCTAAGTTTTAGAAAGTTTTATAATAAAGAAAAATAGAAAGATCTTTTTTTCTATTTTCGAGTTTATCTCCTTAATTCTTTTTATCTAACTTATTTTCTTATTTATTAGGTTTTCTTTAGATTTCCTATTCTTTTGGTACCTACACAAAAGAACCTAACCTAATTATTAAGTAAACTATTCATTATTGTTATCATATTTTGATATTGTTTTGATTATTGAAATCAGAAATATCAAAATTTTGTTCTCACTCTAAGTTTGTATTCAAGCTCTGTTTGTTATATATCAATTAATATCAAAACCTAAATTCAATTCATCACGTTTTCTTAAGTGCTCGACAGTTCACATTCCAAAATACACTCTCTACTTCTTTTATATATACATTGTCTCTCCTTCATAAAATATATAAAAAAAAATCCTAAACTAGAGAAGCAAGTGAACTTGTTTGCTGGCCACTACCAAGAGGTGGCCGACGCTGCTTTCAGCACCACCCTCAAAAGAGCCCCATCAACAAAACCCCAAAGGCCCGCCGTGAAAACTCACCAAAATTACTACTGCAAACTTGAGAACTCCTCTACCCTGACCACCAAGAGTAACACCGACACTAGATTCATTACCACCGCCTTTAGATGAATCCTCCACTGGAAGATCATAGTTGGAGACTTGCCAGGAGTTAGTGCATGATGCGGATGCACCAACTAATGCGTTTGGCCTTTGGTTTTCTGACACTTTGTTGATTGGTTCAAGCTAGCTTTACCTGATTGGTTCTTCTTCTCTGATTCACCTACGTCGATACCTACTTTTGGTACTTTCAAAATGATCCTTGAGATTTTTAGACGTGCTTTCACTTTTTCAAGTTAGTTAGCTTAAGTTTTATTTTTTTACTTACTTTTCCAAGTTGATATTGAACTAAGTACCTTTGGTGTTAGAGGAACACTGGATGGATTTAAAAAATGAGTAGAGTTCTTTTGGATATATTCTATCGAGTATATGATTCAATTATAAATTATGATTTACAATATGCTTTACGCAAAACTTTTGATCAATATGGATATATGGAGAAATTTAAAATAAATCGATGTTCTGTAAGGTACAAGCTTTTATGAATTATGAATTTATAAGATATTATTTGGTTTCAAGGTTCTCTTCAAGGATGATGTTTATATTATAAATATTATAAAATGAAAATTCAATGTTATTTTTCGATATCTAAAATTGTGAAAGCAAGTGTTCCCCTACAAGAGGCAAGAAGTCACAAGAGTAACATAATACTCTTGATTCTTATTAAGTTTTAGAGGATATAAAAATAATTATCCGGAATTTAAATGATAAGACTCCTATGTACTAAAAAAGATTAAAAAAAACATAAAAAACAAAATCTTGAATCTTCGGTTACACAAGAACCTAACATATCTCAAACTCCAATAGAACATGAAGAATAAAAAAAAAAGGATGAAAGGTTTTGGTGATTGAATAAAATCTTCTAGAAGCGTTGCAACTTAAGCAACAATTAACTAATGATACTGAAGGTATACAGACAAATGAGGTTAGTGAGATAGTACAAGATTGCAAACAAGTTATTATTCCTATTGATCAATTTGAGTTTTCTAGCAATGGATCTCTTCATTTAATTGTAGGCAATGATGTTGTTGAGGTTGAAAATGATGTTGTCAAAAGAAACCTAAGTTGAAGATACTACTACACATTCTTTGGCTCCTAACAACAATGAAGAAAGCTCGATTATTCTTCATTCCATAGTTTTTTTTGGTATTCCTACTCCGTTAACTATGTCTTCAGAATCTTTGATTTCAGAAGCATTCATGTTTCTCATTATAATTTGAATTTCTGCAAGCTTTCATTGTTAAGAAGACAAATTCCAACTTTGATATTCTTTATATTTCGACATTTCAAAACTCGAGATTGAGTTTTTACCAAGTGGGTGCAAAATATGAAGTACATAAAGTGGACATATTTCAATAATAAGAGATATAAGACAACCAAGAATATAAACATTTTGGGAGATGAACTAAAAGGAATACGGAAATTTAATTTCCTTTTCTAAGTTGCGGAAAGTTTTACAATAAAAGAAAATCAAAAGATTTACTTTCCTTGTTATATAAGAAAAGGAATATTTATTTTCCTATTTTCTAGATTTCCTATTTCTAAGTTCTTTCTATTTAACTTATTTTCTTATTTACTAGGTTTTCAAGATTTGTATTTTTGATGTATTTAGTGCTTATAAATAAGGTACCTAACTTAATTATTACGTAAATTATCATGACTATTATTCAAAAATTGAGATATTGTTTTAATTATTGAAATCCGAGATCTCCAAGTTTTGTTCTTAATTAACAGTTTGTATTCAAACTCTTTGTCCTACATCACTATGCTTTAATAATCTCAATGAAAAGAAGTCATATTTGTGTCAAGTTCACAAATAAACTAAAAGACAGAGCATTCTCACAGAGAAACAAATTGCATTACAATGAATAACTGAACTCACATCTAAGAAGCATTCTTTCATCTGTTGCAAGCAAGTCTCCAGAACTTCAACTTTTGTCTTATGTCCTACACTAACTTCTCTCATGTCATACTCCATCATTGATCTGAGATTTGGTTTCCACAGGTCGTACCTGAGGAAACAGACTCCTTAGTTCTGTATACCAAATATACTAAAAGATGATAAACTGCATTGTTAACTACCTCAATACAACTTTTGGAGGCTAATGAATTGCAGAATCACACAAAAGAAAAGAATTTCAGAATGTTAAACTAGAAAAACATGCACTGTGTCTCCATTCACTCTGACTCATTGATTGGTCATGAAACTGTACACAGACACACATGTAAAAAACAACATACAGTGTAAGTTCAAAAGTGGATCGCATAATTCATTTCTTTCATCACTATTCCAATATACTCATTAGTGAAAATTTTTAAGAGTCTTTTTATGTAGTTACTTACATGACATAAACCGGAAAAGATCCAAATACAGCTTAAACACACACACAAATAAATATGCAACCTAAGTATAGAAGACCTGTGCATTGTGTCTCCGTGCACTAACCTAAATTGGTTTTTTGTTCATGGAACTATGCAGAAGCAAACGAACAGACACATGTTTAAAGAGCAATATCAAAATTATAAGTTCAAAAGTAGATTGCACAATTCATTACTTCACATGATCATTATTCCAACATTACTGGCTATTGACAATTCTAGGAGTGTTATTTTTGTATTTACTTGTAGGTAAGCTAAATAGAAAAATATCCAAATAAACCTTCCATATAACCATCAAATCACTATTCTGATTTTACTAGCTATTGAAAATTTCAGGAGTTTTCTTTTGAATATTCTTGTATGTAACCTAAAATGCAAAATACCCAAATAAACTTAAATATGACCGTTAACAGTACTTCCATGCAACCTTGAGGATGAAAATGTGTTATCCACACCATTTTGTAAATGTCACTAATATGTTCTCATGCATTAACATTCCTATATTCAGAGTCCATACATGTCTAAGACGAAATTATATGTAGGTGTATTGATGCATACACTTTTGTCCACAACTTAATGAAAAAAAAAAATGCAGTGCATTTAATATGAGATTTAAAAGATAAAAAGGACTTTGACTAGAGAACACAGCCAATTGCAGTCTAAATATTTGAGCACCCATTCTGTCAAGCAAATTCTAAAGATTTGTACCACATCCAAATTAGTTGCTCCAAGAGACACCCACTTTTGTGGAGAAAAAAATATGTTATGTTGGAGAATAGTTAAGTATATATTTTATTAAATATCAAGACCCTATATATACAGGTATTTTACAATAGGAAAATGAAACAAATAATTAATTACATAATACCTATTTTACCGTAATGCCTTTTAATATAATTCTCTCTTAATTACACATGTTATATTTTTCAACACTCATCTTCAAACTAGGGAATAGATATATTTCAGCTCCAACTTGTTAATGATAATTCAGAATATTGGATCACTCAAACCTTTGGTCAACAATCTGTAAGTTGTGAACTAGCAATCATGTATGGAAATCACTATCTAACTTTCCTTTGATAATATGTTTGTCAACCTCAATATGTTTGGTACTGTCATGTTATACTACCTTATTTAGTGATGGTTGTGCCTAATTTGTTGTCACAGTAGAAGCGCATGGAGTCCTTCCATTTGATCATCAGATATTCTAAAATTCTCTTAAGCCATAATAGCTACAATACCCCTTGAGCCATTGCTAGGAATTCTGACTCTACACTCGACTCTGCAACTATATTTAACTTCTTACTCCTCCAAGTAAGCAAGGTACCCCACTGGAAGGTACAATAATCTATGGTAGATCTTCTGTCCACCACTGACCTTGCATAATTTACATCAGTATAGATTTCTACGAACAAGCTGTCATTCTTTCTAAACATGATACATTTCCTTATTTCTTTTTAGGTAGCACTTTGTAGACTGCTTGTAAGTGCCAATCTTTAAGGTTGTGCATGAACTAAATTATTACACTCACTACACAAACAATGTCCGATCTTGTGTTACAGGTATATTAATATTTCAACCAATCTTTGATATATTTTCTTCTTTACCGGCATATCCTCTTCAACTAGTCCTAATTTATGACTGGGATCGATAAAAATACTAACTAGTTTACATGTCAGCTTGTTAAGATCCCTTAACAGGTCATG